TTTTGTTAATGCTACATTTTTTTTCTGTTGTAGCTATGAACTGGTTTAATCTTTGTATGCTATTCATTATTTCCTTATAAATTTTGTTTAAAAAATATTGATCGTTATAATGATGACTAAAGCTGCAGAGAAAAGTTTTTATATGAATGTGTTTTTTTTTTCTCTTGTTACTTCCGAGTATTAGGTGTCTTTAGTTTAATTAGAAAGTCTAGTCATGTGTTAAAAAGGTTACAATTTTGTTATTCTTTTCTTTTACTTTTTTTTTCAAGAATAAAGTAGTTTATTAATTGTGGTTTAGAAATTATATTTAAATGATTGCGGTTCATTAGTATTTTATGAGCAAACATTTTCTAAGATTTCTTTGGTTTCTTTGGAATAATTTCAAATGGGAATTTGTTTTTTATTTAAATAAATGACCTTAAAATGTTATGAAGATGATGACTAGAGTTCAGATTATAGACACAATTATAGACGAGACTGTAGATTTATCTATAGTACAGACTATAGACCAAACTATCGTCCAGACTATAGACTAATCTATAGACCTGACTATAGACTACTATTTATACAGACTATAGACTATTCTTTAGTCCAGACTATAGTTTACTCTATAATCCAGAATATAGTCTACTCTACAGTCCAGACTTTATTTTAATCTATAGTCCTCTCTATAGTCGAGGTTATAGTCCAGACTATAGTCTACTCTATAGTCCAGCCTATAGTCTACTCTATAGTCAAGACTATAGTCTACTCTATAGTCTAATGTAATCTATAGTCCAGACTATAGACTAATCTATAGTCCATACTATAGACTAATCTATAGTCCAGACTATAGTCACTTACATACATAGTCCAGACTATAGTCTACTCTATAGTCCAGACTTAGTCTACTATAGTCCAGACTAAGTCTACTCTATAGTCCAACTATAGTCTACTCTATAGTCCACTATAGTCTACTCTATAGTCCAGACTATAGTCTATATAGTCCAGACTATAGTCTACTCTATAGTCCAGACTTAGTCTACCTATAGTCCAGACTAGTCTACTCTATAGTCCAGACTATAGTCTACTCTATAGTCCAGACTATAGTCTACTCTATAGTCCAGACTATAGTCTACTATAGTCCAGACTATAGTCTACTCTATAGTCCAGACTATAGTATACTCTATAGTCCAGACAATAGTCTATTTATAGTCCAGACTATAGTCTACTATAGTCCAGACTATAGTCTACTCTATAGTCCAGACTATAGTCTACTCTATAGTCCAGACATAGTCTACTCTATAGTCCAGACTATAGTCTACTCTATAGTCCAGACTATAGTCTACTCTATAGTCCAGACTATAGTCTACTCTATAGTCCAGACTATAGTCTACTCTATAGTCCAGACTATAGTCTACTCTATAGTCCAGACTATAGTCTACTCTATAGTCCAGACTATAGTCTACTCTATAGTCCAGACTATAGTCTACTCTAGTACTAGTCTACTATAGTAGTCTCTCTATAGTCCAGACAATAGTCTACTCTATAGTCCAGACAATAGTCTATTTTATAGTCCAGACTATAGTCTACTCTATAGTCCAGACTATAGTCTACTCTATAGTCCAGACTATAATTCATAAATTCTTTCGAAATATCATACTTTAACTAGCGATAGAGTTTTTAAGATAATATCAATGGTAATTACTAGATTTGAAGCAAATATCTAAAGTTTTAGACTTTTAAAAACTTTTTAAACATTTGGAATAAATGATGGTCCTACGAACCAAAAGAAATTATTTGGCAAAACAACACGATATAGTTTTAAAGATATTTTTTATTGCTATTGTTAGATATCAGCCATATTTGAACTGAATTGATTTTCAATGAATGTTGGTCCTCCGAACCATGGGAAATCATTAAAAAAAACATTATTGGTCCTACCAACCTATAGAGGCCTTTCGGAACAGAACTTATACTAAACTAAAGATTGTTGTATAGTTCAAAATCCTTTTTTGTTATTTAAACAAATCGTTTTTAACTAAAAATTTTACATGAATTGTAAAAATAGTTTTTTTTTTCTTTTCTCTAATGGGTTGGCATAAACAATTTCAATTAACAATTACCCCATAAAATCAGAGATTCAAGTCAATAAAAACCCCTCAGTATTAATACAAAAGCACTTGTTTTCATTCATGGGTGTGTAAATTAGCACACAATTTCCCCAATAACTAGCTATTTCCATGATACACATATTCAATTGATAACAAAAAAAAAAAAAAGCAAATAATAAAATATCAAATTAACTTTTAAATATAAAAGTAATTTAATTTAAATGTTTATTAATTAACTTGTTATTGTTAACTAAATTGTATTTAATGGCTGAATTTTCAGATACACTGCAAAACCTTTGGTCCAAACTATATTTGAAGGTGGCATGGCCACTTGTTTTGCCTATGGCCAGACCGGTTCGGGTAAAACTCACACAATGGGCGGCGAATTTAATGGCAAAATACAGGATTGTAAAAATGGTATATATGCCATGGCAGCTAAGGATGTGTTTACCTATTTGAATGGACCACGTTATCGTCACTTGAATCTAGTGTATCAGCCAGTTTCTTTGAAATTACAGTGGCAAAGTATGTTTCCAACATAACATAACATGTTTAACAATAATTTTTAATCTCTAATAATCCTTATCTTGTTTTAGGTTTTTGATTTACTCTCAGATAAACAAAAACTTCGTGTCCTGGAGGATGGTAAACAGCAGGTACAAGTTGTTGGTCTCACCGAGAAGGTAGTCGACAGTGTTGAAGAAGTGCTTAAACTTATACAGCACGGCAACAATGCTCGCACCTCCGGCCAGACCTCAGCCAATTCAAACTCATCACGTTCTCATGCAGTATTTCAAATTGTTTTACGTCCTCCCGGCTCCACAAAAATTCATGGTAAATTCTCTTTTATCGATTTGGCTGGTAATGAACGTGGTGCCGATACCTCATCGGCTAATCGTCAAACACGCATGGAGGGTGCCGAAATCAATAAATCTCTATTGGCTCTGAAAGAATGTATTCGTGCTTTGGGTAAACAATCGGCTCACTTGCCATTCCGTGTCTCGAAGTTAACGCAAGTTTTACGTGATTCTTTTATTGGCGATAAGAGTAAAACCTGTATGATTGCTATGATTTCACCGGGTTTAAGTTCGTGTGAACACACACTCAATACTCTACGTTATGCGGATCGTGTTAAAGAGCTGGTGGTCAAAGATGTATTACGTGAGGATGATGTGCTGCGTGAAGAAGATACCGAACAGTTAATGTATGAAGAGGATGAAGAGACTAATAATGTACAGCATGTCCAGCAGAGGCCCATTAAGCATAATAATCATACTAATCATAATAATAACAATAATAATAAGAACAATGGTCAGATGTCGGCGAGTGATTTGGCATTGTTGCGTTCGTTGAGCGTAAGTTTGAAAATTTTAGACTTGACTATTTACTAGACAATAAACTAGATTATAGAAAAGACTAGACATAAGACTAGACTATAGACTAGACTATAGACTAGACTATAGACTAGACTATAGACTAGACTATAGACTATAGACTAAACTATAGACTAGACTATAGACTAGACTACAGACTAAACTATAGACTAGACTATAGACTAGACCATAGTCCAGACTAAAGACTAGACTATAGACTAGACTATAGACTAGACTATAGACTAGACTAGACTATAGACTAGACTATAGACTAGACTATAGACTAGACTATAGACTAGACTATAGACTAGACTATAGACTAGACTATAGACTAGACTATAGACTAGACTATAGACTAGACTATAGACTAGACTATAGACTAGACTATAGACTAGACTATAGACTAGACTATAGACTAGACTATAGACTAGACTTTAGACTAGACTATAGACTAGACTATAGACTAGACTATAGACTAGACTATAGACTAGGACTATAGGCTAGACTATAGACTAGACTATAGACTAGACTATAGACTAGACTATAGACTAGACTATAGGCTAGACTATAGACTATACTATAGACTACACTATAGACTACACTATAGACTACACTATAGACTACACTATAGACTAGACTATAGACTAGACTATAGACTAGACTATAGACTAGACTATAGACTAGACTATAGACTAGACTATAGACTAGACTATAGACTAGACTATAGACTAGACTATAGACTATACTATAGACTACACTATAGACTACACTATAGACTACACTATAGACTACACTATAGACTACACTATAGACTACACTGAAGACTAGACTATAGACTACACTGAAGACTAGACTATAGACTAGATTGTAGACTAGACTATGGACTAGACTATGGACTAGACTATAGACTAGACTATAGACTAGACTAGACTATAGACTAGACTATAGACTGGACTATAGACTAGACTATAGACTAGACTATAGACTAGACTATAGACTAGACTATAGACTAGACTATAGACTAGACTATAGACTGGACTATAGACTAAACCAGACTATAGACTAGACCAGACTATAGACTAGACTATAGACTAGACCAGACTATAGACTAGACTATAGACTAGACTATAGACTAGACTATAGACTAGACTATAGACTAGACTATAGACTAGACTATAGACTAGACTATAGACTAGACTATAGACTAGACTATAGACTAGACTATAGACTAGACTATAGACTAGACTATAGACTAGACTATAGACTAGACTATAGACTAGACTATAGACTAGACTATAGACTAGACTATAGACTAGACTATAGACTAGACTATAGACTAGACTATAGACTCGACTGTAGACTCGACTATAGACTAGGCTATAGACTAGACTATAGACTAGACTATAGACTAGACTATAGACTAGACTATAGACTAGACTATAGACTAGACAATAGACTAGACAATAGACTAGACAATAGACTAGACAATAGACTAGACTATAGACAAGACTATAAACAAGACTATAGACTAGACTATAGACTAGACTATAGACTAGACTATAGACTAGACTATAGACTAGGCAATAGAATGGACTATAGATTAGACTATGGACTAGACTACAGACTAAACTGTAGACAAGACTACAGACTAAACTAGTCCAGACTATAGACTAGACTATATTCCAGACAATAGACTAGACTGTAGTCCAGACTATAGACTAGACGATAGACTAGACTATAGTCCATACTATAGACTAAACTATAGTTCAGACTATAGACTACAGTATAGGTTATACTATAGTCCACACTATAGAGTATTCCAGATTAGACTATAGGCGAGACTATAATCTATAAACTAGACTATACTTTGTTTTGACTTCTATATATTAATTCCACCTTTAACATTTCCAGGAACACGATATGTCCGATGAATTACTTGTCCAACATGCTGCGATTTCCGATCTACAACAAACCGAAGAAATGGTTGTTGATCAACATCGAGCCATCAATGAATTCCTAACACAATTTCTACCCGAATCTATGCGTCTATATAATTTAACCAACTATGTCGATTATGATCAAGACTCCTACTGTAAAGAAGGTGAGGCCTATTTCACACAACTGGCCGAGATGGCTACCATGTGTCGGGATTTAATGGCTGATTTTCGGGCAAAAATGGCTAAAGAAGAAATGCTTTCATGCACAGTTAAACCACCAGGCAAACGTTAAAAAAAATGAATAACTAATTTAACAAAAAACGCCCTATTTAAAACACTCAACACACTCCTCCTCCTTCTCCTCAATAACACATTTATAAAGAAAGTAAATACTCTTCTTCTTTAGTGCAGTTTAAGCACTGAAACTGAAAGGAATAAACGAAAATGCATGTATTAAAGATAACTCTTTTTCTTTTTAAGTATTAATTTGTTTAATTTAAATAATAGAAAGAGAGAGAAAACAAAAAAAATATAAACTAAAATTGTTAAACAGATTAGAGCAAAAACAACCCAGCAGTGCCGTTTAAAAATGCACTTAAAACTTTAAATTAAAACTAAAAATAATAAAAAAAAAAACAATTTTAAATTTTAAAAAACTAACAGCAACAAACTATACAACACACCATATATAATATTTATGATTAAAACAACAACAACAAAAAGCAAATAAAGAAAACTTATTTACTCACTTTAACTTTATTAAACAAAAAAAAAAATTAAAAATCAAACTCAAACTCAAAACAGAAAGCCAGCAGCAGCAGCAAATGAAGAACTACAACTAAAACAACAATGTAATAATCCTGTTAGAAATGCTAATTTATGTTTTGTTAAATTAATATTAATAATAACGATTTTTTTATTAGTTTTTTTTTACACTTTTAAACACACAAAAAAATTATTTTATTTTTTACAAAAAAGAAAACAGGAGTTAATAGAAAATTTCCTTACATTTGCCGTTAAAACAAAACAAAATATGTAAATAAATTTGTTATTTTATTATAACACAAATTTATTTAACAATATTTTTTTCTAAAAAAACATTTATTTTTGCTTAATTGTGTTTTAAAAATTTTAATGATTTTTGTGTTTCTAATATTATCCCTACTACTACCCCCACACCTCTACCCCCTTTGTATTTTTAATACTTATTTTTAAAATGATATTAATAATTTTATGTTTTTATATAGAATTTTTTTATAAAAAAAAAAAATTTTTTGCTAATTTTTGAAAAATTAAACACAAGTATTATCAAATAATTACAAAACTGAAGATTAATAAAACAAACAACAACAACAAGCTTTCGTTACAAAAAAAAATCTCAAAAAAGAACAACCTTGTAAAACAGAGAAAGTGTGAAAAGCAAAACCTTAAAAATTCCCTTCAAAAAAAAGCGCTTAATTGACAACACTACCATATAATTCCATAATTTGTTTTCTTTGTAAAAATGTCAAAATTTTTGTTTACAAATCCAGTTACAGTGTATAAACAAACCCCTGTTTATGTAGGAAAAAAACGCTTAAGCTTTTAGATTTTTACAAAAAAAAAAAGACACTAAACTTAACTATTTTTTATCACAAATGAAGCATTTCTTTAAAACAAATCAAAATACTAGACTACGGGCTATTCTAGAGAGTAGACTTTAGAGAGTAAACTACAGACTAGGATAGAGGCTAGACTACAGTCAAGTTTAAAGTTTGTGCTACATATTAGTTTAAAGAATAGCCAACAGACTAGTCTAACTACAGACTATGATAGAAACTAGACTACGGACAAGAATAGAGACTAGTCTACAGAACTAGAACTAGTCTACAGACGACAGAATAGATTCTAGTCTAGAGACTAGAGTACAGACTAGGATAGAGACTAGTCTGCACACTAGGATATAGACTACAGACTAGGATAGAGACTAGATTACAGACTAGGATAGAGAATATAATACAGCCTAGTTCAAAGAATAGACTACAAACCAATCTAAGGATTAGACTAAAGACTAGTCTAGAGACTAGACTACAGATTAGGATAGAGTAGACTAAACTACTAGAATAGTTTAGCTAGACTAGACTAGAACGGTCTTGTCTAGAGATGAGACTGTAGTCTAGTTTGGAGACTAAACTACAGTCTAGTTCAGAGACTAAACTACAGTCTAGTTTAGAGACTAAACTACAGTCTAGTTTAGAGACTAAACTACAGTCTAGTTTAGAGACTAAACTACAGTCTAGTTTAGAGACTAAACGACTGCCTAGTTTCGAGACTAAACTACAGACTATAGACTTGATCTGTCTAATTTAGAGTCTAGAATTTAGTTTGTAGTCTAGTCTAGAGCCTAGTTCAGAGACGTCCAGAGTCTAGTCTAGAATCAAGAGTGTAGTCTAAAGTCCAGAGTCTAGTTTAGAATCTAGAGTCTAGTTTAGAATCTAGAGTCTAGTTTAGAATCTAGAGTCTAGTTTAGAGTTAGTTTATAATTAGTTTATAATCTAGACTAAAGTCTATAGTTTACTCTAGAGTCTAGTTTAGAGCCTAATCTAGAGTCTAGTTTAGAGTCTGATCTAGAGTATAGTTAAGTCTAGTCTAGAGTCTACTTTAGAGTCTTGTTTAGAGTCTGTTCTATAGTCTAGTTTAAAGTCTGGCCTAGAGTTAAGTTTATAGTCTAAGCTATACTCTAGTTTATATTCTAGACCACACTCTAGTCTTTAGTCTCTACTACAGTCTTGTCTAAAGGCTAACTTTGGACCTAAATACTTATTAATAAAATTATTATATTATTAATTTATAGCTTTGTTTTCCAACTCCCAAACAAAACTTTCCAAGTAATCCCTATACATACACACACAAAAATTACAAACTGTCATTGTGCTCAATTCCGTAGACTATTTTTGTTCTTCTTAAAATAACTAAAGAAGTTTTTGTATTAAAAATGTAATAAAAACAAACTCTTAAAACTATTTTATATTTAACATAAAACAAATCCTAGAATTTTCTTTAAGCATAATATATTTAACAAAAACCAAATTTAACCTGCACTTTTCTTTCCTCTTAAAAAACAACAAAAACCTAATTTAGTATTAACCTACCTCTCTATATATCCGGCCTGCAAAACCTAACAAACCCGCTAAAAAAACTTTCTTAAAATTTAACCAAATTTAAGTTGTTAAAAACTAAAACAAACAATTTATTTTGTTTAACTAAATTTAAATATTCATTCCGTTAAATTTTTTTTATAAAAAAATTAAAAACTTTTAATATTTTGGTCTATAATGAAAAAATTCAAATTTTTTTAGTAACAAGGCTTAATAATGTGCGTTTTTTTTTAAAGAAATTAAACTGAAAACTAATAAAGAAAAATTATATTAAAAAAGAAACTTTTCTGTTATACAAGTGCTTCAAAGTAAGAAAAAAATTAATAAACAAAAAGGAAGAAAAAATTAATTATATATTTAGATTCTAATAATTATTAAATTATACAAATAAATAAACGACAAGAAAAACCTATTATATATATAAAAAAAAACAAATAAAACCAACAAAATCAATTAAAGTTAAAGCGTTTTTAATTAAACAAATATTATACATCAGGAACATCAGTATCATACTAATTGATTCCATTAATGGTTACGATATTTTTTCTTTTTATTGCTTTTTACTGCGTAGATTAAGCCCTATACTCCAAATTTTTATTCAGAATAGGGCTAAAAAAGTGAAAACTTACCTTTATTGTTTAACATCCAGTTGAACACATACACACTATTGTTTTAAAAACACCATAGGCGTTCGATTTTTTTCGAACAAGTTAAAAAATTATCTAATATACTATACAATATCATCGTTTTAAAGCTATAAAGCCAGGATCATCTACTAGTTCTTGATCAACAAGTTCATCAGCATTATAGTCCGTGTCGGTATTAATTACAGCATCGGGATCGTCCACATCTACCATTTCATAATGGCTATCTAAAAATTTTACATTTTTTTGATGCAATTTCAAGTGATACTGAAACAAAAAACGAGGGATATTATAAAAACCAATTCATTACTCATTGGACTTCACATACCTCCAAATGATGTTTTCTACGAAAAGGTTTCGAACAGAAACTACACTTAAATCTTGGCTCATCTTCGTGTATCGTTCGCACATGCATTCTCAGCGTCTTATGTGTGGCAAACTTATGATTACAAATATCACATTGAAAATATTGTTCGGTATGCGTTAGAAGATGTGTTTTCAAATGTTCCATCATTAAATAATCTTTGCCGCAGATATTACAAACATATGGCCTATCTCCAGTGTGAGTTCTCATGTGTACCTTTAAATCGGTTTTAGCAATAAACGTTTTATCACATTCCGTACATTTAAAATTGCGTATATTATTGTGTCGATTCATGTGGTAGAGATAGTGGGCCTTTTGATTAAAGGTTTTCTGACAAATGTTACACTGATAGGCCGGCTGTTCGTTGTGTATTTTCATGTGTTGATGCAAACTGGGCAGGGATTTTAGTTCACGGGCACATATACTGCAGGGATATTTATTGTCATGGTACTTCGGTTCTGGAAAAGACGGTGGCAAATTTGAAACCATCTTTATTTAGTTCTGGGATCGGGGGGGCGGCAGGGCGGGGGGGGGGGGGAAAGCAGGAAAGAGAGGGGGGGGGAACGGACGGAGGACGGACGGACGGACGGACGGACGGACGGACGGACGGACGACGGAGGACGGACGGACGGACGGACGAGGACGGACGGAGGACGGACGACGGACGGACGGACGGGGACGGACGGACGGACGGACGGACGGACGGACGGACGACGGACGGAGGACGGACGGACGGACGGACGGACGGACGGACGGACGGACGGACGGAGACGGACGGACGGACGGACGGACGGACGGACGGACGGACGGACGGACGGACGGACGGACGGACGGACGGACGGACGGACGGACGGACGGACGGACGGACGGACGGACGGACGGACGACGGACGGACGGACGGACGGACGGACGGACGGACGGACGGACGGAAGGACGGACGGACGGACGGACGACGGAAGGACGGACGGACGGACGGACGGACGGACGGACGGACGGACTGACGGACGGACGGACGGACACGGACGGACGGACTACGGACGGACGGACGGACTTACGACGACGACGAACGAGACGGAGACGGACGGACGGACGGACGGACGGACGGACGGACGTACGACTTACTTACTGACGTACTTTTACGTACTTACTACTTACTACTTACTTACTTACTTACTACTTACTTACTTACTTACTTACTTACTTACTTACTACTTACTTACTTACTTACTTACTTACTTTGTAACTTACCTATGCTTTTTATGCTCCTGTAGATTTTTAAATTCCAGCTGACAGGGAACACAACTATACTCTCTTTTCTTACCCACTCTTTCAGCATTCTTTCTCCGGTTAGTATTATTCAGTTTCCTTTCTCCTCGATTTGTACCTTTTAATTCTATCACATTTTCCAATGACTCACCCTCATCATCACACATTTCCTCTTCGATTACATATTCCACATCACTATATACTGAACTAGTCTCTTCCGGTTTTTCCTCTGTATATATATCGTATTCTACAGTATTTCCATTGCTTTCATTTAATGTTTCTTGTTTGCTTTCATCGTCTAGCAGCTCATAGATTTCGGTAACATAATCCGTTTTATCAATGATCGGCTCCAAGTCTAAACGAATTTGCGGTATTGTTTCTTGGGAGCTGTTTGGATTTTCGGTTATTTCTTCGGCAGAGAAACGATATTTTATGTCGGTAATGGTAGGTTGTTCGATGTCTAATTTCAATTGTTCGGCCAGTGTTTGTATATTTAGGGGAGCTGCATTCGTTTCCGTATTTGTTTGGTTTAGAGTATTCGAGAAATCTTCTGTTTGATATAAGGACTTTCCTGATCTATTTCTGTTTGCTGTTGAGAGTTCTCTCCTAGGTAGTGAAACTCATTTTCATTGTTTGGATACTCAGAGTTTACACTTTCCTGGTAATCACTACTTTGGTTTGCTGGGTATTCAAGGGAGGAGGTTTCCTGATACTCATTCACCACATTATCGGGAAATTCTTCAATGGAAGTTTTTTCATACTCATTAGCAGTTATTAGGGCATAATCTTCCCGAGCGTTTTCCTGATATTCACTGGTTATTTTAACATATTCATTTGCTAAGCTGCTATATTCCTCTGCAGATTCCACCGGCTCCTGGCCATTGTCTTGAGGCATTTCTTCATCTTTCTGTTCAGTTTTAAGTTTATTCGAGTTTAACTGTTCTTCATATAGATTTTGTAAGTATTCCAACGTCTTGTAGGCTTTGTCTTTGAGTTTTTTGAAAAGTTTCATTTGTAAATCACAACTATTGCACAAAAATTGCGGATAAGCATCGCCCTTAGTAAGGGAAATCTAAATAACATATTAAAATTGAATAAAACTATATTTTTTATATGTTTTTGTATCCCTTCACAAAGACTTACATCCAATAGATTTTCATATAGCAGACCAGCCTCACTTAACTGGAGACCATCCTCGTGTTGTCCACTATTTTGATATAAACATTCATAATCACCATCCTGATTGGGGCTACGGCACACCCGACAACTGTTTATTAAATCAGGATTTGTTATTAACATAATTTAAGAAATTTTCACTAATATTTTTACACTAAATTAATATCTTTTTTTAAGATTTTATTGAAATCTCATAGAAAAAATATTTGTTTACCACAGACAATCACAGAGAAGTGATGACAATAATTAAAAAATAATTTCTAGCGTTTTTTTTTTTAAATAACCAACAACACTATTTTCGTACTTCTAGGACGAAGAATAACTAAAACGGACGGCGTTGAAATGTTTTACCAAGTCGTCTGATATTGAAATCTATGTTTTCGAGTTAAAATTTAAGAAAAGTTGCTTAAATTATTAAAATTAAACGGATTAAATAACAAATTTCATGAATTTATTAAAATTTCTATAAAAGAATTAACTTTTAATTAAGTAAAATTTTTTAACGCCGTTATTTTTTTTTTTACTAACGGCGTTGAAACTTGATATCAGCATCTGACTAATTTATTATTGTTTTGTTTTTTGTTTATTTTTTATTTGCATGAAAAGAACATAAACGGGAATTTTTAAGATAAAAGCTAAATGGGTTCGGCAGCAAAATCTTTGCAGGATTCTTTAAAAATATCGATATCGAGGACTTACAATATGTGGAAACAGATTTATGTTTTTATCAACTGGTAAGTGTTGTTCCCTTAAAAATAACTGATCATAATTAAATGACTAATACTTCCTATTCTAGGTATCTTTGGGATTCCTTTTATATGGTGATGACCGCACACGTAGTCAATTTATCTTACAAAGATTAATAATTTTAGCACAACATCCTTCCTCTGGCAAAGGCCTTACTGCGGGAGTAACATCACTGGCCACCAGTGATGTATTAAGAAATTATGCCAAATTGAATCCTCAGAATTGGAGATTACATATTGTTGAAGCTTTAGCCATTATCAAAGCTAAAAGAGTGTTGCGCCGGTTGGGTTTATGCTGGCTAGAAATATATCATCAATTTTTACCTCATGTGGCGGAAATCAGTGTACACATACACCCCCTACTTAAGGCGTTGTATGTTCTAGCCGAACGCTTAACACCGGATCAGGCCAATCAGCTTATACAGCACATTAATAAAAAATATCAAACTGATATTCAAGATTTGCGTTTCTATGATTGTTGCTATTTAGAGGTCTTTCTGCTAAACTGGCTGAATAAACGTATTATAACGTTGGGCGATCGCCAGCTTAAGGGCAGTAATATACAGTTGCTGATAGAGTATTTTAAATTTAATGATATGGCTGGTATTAAGGATTTGCTAATAGAGACCATAAATCAAAATTTGAAAAATCCAGAAACTGATAATGTGGCTTTAGTGAATAATAACAATAGCCAAGATTCTGGTGTTTATATGTCACAGCATATGGTTGATAGTAGTAAAACACTGCCTACTGTTGATAATAAAGAAACAGTTGTTCAGCCGCCTTTAGCGCAACAGTCAGACTTTGATAGTACGGAACGTTATTCAATAACAAGAAAAAATGCTGGTTATGTTTTGATTATAAATCAAAGTAGTTTTTATAAGGAAACTGATCCAAAATATCGGGTAAATATTAACGTTTTTTTTTTTTGTTTCTGTTCTACAGTCTACTCTATAGTCCAGACTATAGTCTACTCTTACAGTTTATCTAATTTTTTCTGTTTTAAAAAGCATCTCGTATCATTTATGCATGATACCATACCTGCACGTAAAGGCACTAACGTGGATCGTGATAAACTAAAGGAACTTTTTTCCTCATTCGGTTATATACCATTGTTATATGAAAATCTTACACATTTAGAAATATTACATCAAATACGAGAAAATGTTAAGAGAAGTCTACTAAAAGATTCCATAATTATTTGCATACTATCACATGGCATGGAAGGTAAGGGAATAGAATAGAACTTTTTGATTAGGAAATCATTTTTTAAAGCAATTTTTTTTTGGATTTTCAAGGTGTTGTATTTGGTTCAAACAGTGTGCCGATAGCTATAACGGAAATTAAGGAAATTTTAACGGATGACACTTTAAAAGGAAACCCAAAATCTTGATAATACAAGCTTGTCAAAGGAATCTTTCTACGGTGGATACTGTACTAAAGTGTTTTCTTTAGCAAAATGCAAAAAATTAAACTTTGTTTTGTTTATTTTTAGAAAAGTTCTTCGTCTATAAGAAATTTCTCTCCCGATGCCTATGCTGATATATTACTGGCTATGTCGTCCATGCCGGGTACCGATGCTTTGCGGCATACTGAACATGGCAGTTGGTTTGTGGATGCTTTATGTAAATTTACACAAAAATATGGTGATTGGTAAGTACATATTTTTTATAGTTTTTTCCAAGAATTTTTTTTATTAAACATTGTTTTTTTTTTTCTTTTTAAATATAGCAAACATATGATGGATATTTTAACTACCGTTATACGTGATATTTCCAAGCGTAAAGGTGATGCAAATCAAGTTATGTTGCCCTCTACCATTAGCACATTACGTAAAGATCTTTATTTGCCAAGTAGGAAGTAATATACTATGTAGATAAGGACTTAAAAACACATTTTTTATACATATATAAAATAATAACGAGAAATGTTAAAGGATTTTATAAAAGTTAAAATTATTATAAATCATTGGATCAACTGTTTAGTCTATAGATAAGTTAATAATTTGGACAAATACATAAATCTTTACTTGTAACAAAACCAAATGTAAAAAAAAAACAAGTAAGAAAGTATACTCGGGCGTGACCCCTCCCCACTAAAGTGGTGTAGGGTATAAAAACCACTGATTAAAAGTCAATTAGCTAATTGGTAGTTGTCTCGGCTAAGCCAAGTCAATATGGTAAGTAAACTTTATCGTGATAACAAGACGGTTTTGTGTATTATTGTGAATACAGATGTACATCTAATTAACAGTCCTTTATGTC